GAAAGCGGACGGCAAACCTACTCCAGTGGGCAAGCCTCCTTTCGGCCGGCATCCCGACGAGAATGGCACCTTTCGCGGCACGTTCCCTGATCAGGACGCCCGGCTTGCCAGTCACGTGGACTCGTGGCTCACGCGCAGTACTTCTAGGGCGGGCGCACTGCTCACCTTCCGCTGGGGTGGCATCTATGGCGATGGAGCCGACGCGCAGCTCCGCGCCGGCAAGAAGGAGTGGTCGCAGCGAGACACACCAAGGCTGTCGGGCAACGCATCCGTGTACGGCAAACTCGCTCGTGACAATAATCTGCTTGCCGGCATCATCATTGGACGCCACGGGCACTTCAAGTTTGAGGCACCCGCACCAAGCGGTGAGTGGACTCATGAGTACGACACTCTTGACCTCGACACGATGAACGCCAATGGTGGTGCAAGCCACTACTATGCACGCAACTTACTCTATGTGGCCGAAAGGAAGGACCCGCGGATGGGCAACATCCATTCTCTGCTCTCGCGCACGCGATGGAACCAGACGTGGGACATGCCAGAGGCAGAGGAGATGTATTCGCTGCCATACTTGGATATGCACTTTCAGTGTGCCTTCATGGAAACATGGCCACAGGCGGCAGCGAGCTGGAAGATGCCGATCACGGCAGATTGCCGCGACCTGCTCGGATTGAACGCAATCCAGGCTATCCTCGGGCGTGTCTGCCACTCGAAGCCACGAGCCGCGTCGGCCCGTAGTAAACCGCGGTAGCAGCTCAAAAACACCTACTAGTAATCCCCTTTGTTATCCTTACTGTAGTCATCCGCGATGCATGTTGTTGAAAGTGGTTCGAGACGCGATACGAACTCGGCCGTGCATGTACACAGTACGAAAGGAGGCGGCAGATGACTCGGAAAAGAGGAAGATATCATGTCGCGGCCAATAATTGGTGGTAACACACAGCAGTGAACGGCGGCTGGAGAAAACCCCGCCTCCTAGACCAGCGCAAAGCGCCCCAACACGTATTTTCTCGTCAATAACAAGGTGCGTGAACGGCTTCTCGAGAGCGGTGAGGCGCCCCGGCCCTGTCTGGGGGGGGGTGAGGTTGATGACTGCACTCCTAATTGCTCAAAGGGCAACTCCGCGCACTGACGGCCGGACGTCAGAAAACACGAGCCTGTCGAGGACTGGGGAAAACACGCCTCCGTGGATCACGTTACACCAATCCTCGCTACCCAACGCGGCCAAAGAATATGTCGGAACTCGAGGTCTGTGTGAACGGCTTCTGCAAAGCGTCCGTCGGAGAGGGTCGGGTCAGTCTTGAGGGTCGGGTCAGTGAACGGCTGCTGGGGGCGGGAGGAGGTGGTGGCGCCGACCGCAATGGCGGCCGACCCGACGAGCGCCGGGCGAGATCGCGAGGGTCGAGGGTGAGCTCGAAGCCGCGGGCGGCGGCCGAGTTCTGAATGGTGAGGGCGTCGGCGGTGACGATGGCGGCGGAGATTCGGCGGAGTGCAAGCAGTACTTGGAGCACTTGGAGTGCAGTTATCAACCTCACATCCAGGGCCAGGGAGCTAAGAAGCGCACCCAGCGGGCCGGATGAGTACCTTGTTTTTGTTGATTTCCGACGTTTCAGACGTCCCTCACCCTTTCCGCCGCTACCTTGCCGCCGCCGCCTCATAACGCCTCCTCACTGCCTGCGCTGCCGCCTCCTCCTCACTGCCTCCTCCACTGCCGCCACCATGCCACCGTCGCCGCTGTCGGTCTCACCGTCGCCGCCGGATCCCTGCCGCCGCCTCACCGCCTCACGTCGCCGCCGCCACGCCGCCGCCGCCGCCGCCGCCGCCTCACTGCCTCACGCGTCACCTCACTGCCGCCGCCTCCACCTCGCCGCCGCCGCCAGATCGCCGACACGCTCCACCATCTCGCCCACCTCATCGCCTCCCCGCAGCCGAAGACTGGCCCGCGACCCCAGCCCGCACCTCACCGCCGCCTGCGCAAGCCGCCGACACCAGTCGCATCAGCCGCCGCCCTCGGCATCCACCTCCCCGGCACTCTGCCCGCGCCGCCCCGCGGCACTGCTCTCCACACCACATCCCTCCGTCAGCAGCGCCGCATGGCGTGGGCTGCCGGCCACTCGAGATGGCCCGGAGGGGCGGCGGGACTCTCTCGCCGTACCCGGCTACTCAGCCATGCCGTTCCACCGCCCGGCCCTGACCACCCACCCCTAGCCCTTTGAGCCCATCTCACCCCTAAGCGCTCATGCAGAGCTTAGGCGAGCGGAGCGGAGATGGGCTTCAGGTTCGCAGCAAATTATCCAGACAGACTGCGGCCTCGCCCGTCTCTCAGACCGAGGTCTGTTTGCGCCTGGTCGCCTGCATAAGGGTCGATCTCGGCGGTTGGGTTAGTGTTGGCATCCCGAGTGAGGTAAGGGTGACTGAGCCGTGGGCAGGGCTTATCCGGAGCCTGCAGAGCAGCGGAGCCGGCTGCGGACGTGGAGAGGTGCCTCCGTGTCTAGGTGTGAATAGGGGTCCGCTGTGATCATTCACAGTGGGGGGGGGGGGGGGTGTACAGGAATTGTATGCCCCTGCTGGCTGGTCCGGGATAGGCCCCCGTTGGCCCGGGGGAGCTGCGGCTAGCGCCCAGTCCCCCGCGTGTCGTCGTCGCCAGCACTAAGAACGGAGCCGTTTCGTCCAGTTGGCGTAGAAGGGCGTTGTTGCTTGCTGCTGCTGCTGCTGCTGCTGGCCGGCGGCGGCTGTCGCGGCGTCATCCGAGGGAGCGGCGTCGCCACGGCTGGCGGCGTCGTCCCTCTTGGTCGCGTAGTCCAGCAGGTGGTGCAGGTCCCTGCATTTGAGATGCCTCGTCAAGGCCTCACTAAAGTAGAGCTGCCCGTACTCGCCGTACGAGAACAGGGGGGCCACGAGTAGTTGGAATCGATCGAGGAAGCGCGGCGGCGGCTGTTCCCCTCTCGAGTGGTACCTTCTCCGGAGGCTGCGGATATGAACGCATTTCGAGGCGGCCGCATGGACGAGTCGGGTGAGAGTAGCCGTCCACACGTCGTCCGCTTTGAACGTGACGTTGTCGATGTCGACCCTGTAGAAGTCGATCAGCGTAAACTTCCAGAGGAGCAGGCAGAGAGTCGTCGTCACTAGGGGAAGACGTTGGTCCTCCACGTAGCAGAAGAGTATCCTGTCGCGACTGGGAGCAGGGGTGTCGGGAATGATCAGCTTTATCCGGCTGAATAGATGCGCGATTATTCGGCATCGGCCGAGGTGTGCGCAGGACTCGCGTTCGCGGTGGCAGAGGCGGCAGACGGTCCTGGCCTCTCCCCGCCTCCTCGTCCTCCTCCTCCTCCGGCGGCGGCGAGAGCGGCGGGAGCGCGCCCGCTCGAGCCAATCGATGCACCGCCGCCAAAGCGGTGCCGCGCCGCCGCCGCCGGCCCCTCGGCTCCTGCGGACGCCTCACCGCATGCGACAAGCGCTGAGGGCACAAAGTTTACTTGTTGACTACGGTAAGGGTTGTCTGCGTGTGAGTGTGAGTGAGTGAGTGACACACGCACACAGTTGTCTTCGCGGGTTGGATTCTTTGGGCTAAAATTCATTTGGGTGAGAATGGAGTTCTCTGGGTAAGCTCAGCTGTGAACTTCCCAGAGTTGTTTGCTCTCCCTCCCTCCCTTACCCTGTTCATGACTTGCTAGCGGGACCTGAGTATTGTAAAAATACTGTAAGGCATATCGGTTCCCTGGGCGTTCACTAGCGCTCGCTTGCGATGCAACAGCGTCTGACCCTGTTGCACACTGCTCGGTCACCGCCGCGCTCACCAGGTCTGCTCGGCGGTCACCGCCGCGCTCGCCATGCCGCTCGGGCGCGCGGTGCTTCTCTGCTCGGCGGTCACCGCCGCGCTCACCATGCCGCTCGGACGCGCGGTGCTTCTCCGCTACGACTCGATTCTGAACGCGAGCAGCGGCGACGAAGCGTGGGCCACGCACGCCCCGTATTTGGACAAGAGGAGGCATCAATGCCACGCGAAGGTGATGGCTCCCCGTGGTGAGCCATCTCTGCGAGTCCTCGATCACGAACTTGTGCAGCTTCGAGACGCCGTCTATGTAGATGGGAGATTCCACGTGCGGGCCGACAAACACTCTATGGCCGCACTCGCAACGATCATGGCACGCCAGCAAGGCCGCGATGCGCTCGCCGACATCTCAAACACGGACGTTTGCAAGCAGCGGTCGCATGTCGAGGCATGCGTGAGCGCCGCCGCCCGAGAGGTGATCACAGACACAGATGGCAGAAAGGGTTGGAAGATGGCTGCATCCGGCTGCCCAGCCCCACATCGCTGCCCGCCCATGTTCAGCGTGCACAACAGCACCCTCTTCGTCGTGTCGGCTATGTCGATGCAACAGCCACAGCAAGGTGGCTCACGCCCAATCTCGAGAATTGAGCTACTTCAGGACAGGGCGTTTGCCAGCCTCTTGTGCCAAAAGTGCCACACCACGCGGCGAGTGCGCGACGCCTTTGCATTCGCTGCACGCTACAACTGCCCATCACTCTTCGGCGGAAGCTTTGGGGAGTGGCTTAACGAGGTCTTCATGCCGGGCTACCACATGAGCACCGTCTCGTGGACGAAATGGATGGCGGGGCGTGGTGCCCCAGTGGCGCTATTCGAGCAGTCCGGCACGCGCACATGTCCACTCAGGGCACAGTCCGGCCGGCTGCGAGCGGGCTGGTCAATCGACACATGGGGCGGCGCGGGGCTGCGCATGCTGCCGCGAGCCCAGCCCCACCGCTGTGTCCGCGTCGACAATATGATCGTCGGCGTCTCACGGGCGGCAGACTTGACCGCGAGACGAAGCGCAGCACAGGCTTCTGCCCTGACGGCCGAGCTTCACGGGCTGCGGGCCCGACTCATTAAAGAAGGGCGATCGAAATGGTCTGGGTCACCGGTCTGGGCGCGTGTGTCAAACCGCAGCTCTGCCAGGCCCCAGTCATTGCTGTGGCTCAAGCGCTCCAGACGTCGCGCCATGGCTAACGACACTGCAGTGATCACTGCGGCGCACACCGCCGGCCTCGACGTCGTCTGGCCACGCGGCAGCCGCCTTGGCGAACGGCTCGATCTCATGGGACAGGCCGACGTTATCTTCCTGCCGCATGGCGCCGACGGCGCCAACCTTGTATTCATGCAGCCGTGCACACTCCTCGTTCAGTTGTGCCCGTGTGGCTACAGAGACAAGGACAGTTGCGAAGCACACTATTTTGGAAACTTGGCAAGGGCCCTTGGTGGCGGGTATGTAGCAGCCCACCTGCAGCACGACGAGAATCCTACCTCACGACGTCAATGCGTCGCGGCGAGGAAGAAGTGGAATACTGCGACCATGTTTGCGAGTGAACCATTCTTGATCGCCTTGCTGGCGCACGCAATCAATGAGTACCAACGCCTTTTCACCAATTGTACGCGTTCCCTGCACACCGTGCCCGGGCGGACGCTCCGCCGCCAAGAGCAGCGCTAAGAAGACCGCGGCTCTCGCTCGTCCCAGGGATGTGGCCGTGTCTTTTGATTCAGGCGCCGTCCCTTCGACTCGTGTCGTGCGACCGCCTTTTGTTGTAATCTGAGTGCACGAGATACGCCCCCGAGTTCATTTTAATTACAACAGAGCCGGCGATCGCGCAGCACAGAGCACACAGGGATTTTATTTTTAAGGAGTCCCCAGAGGAGTGGTGGTGCTAGCCGTCGCCCGCCCACCCTTGGGCCTAGCCTTGGCGCTTGGGCGTCTGCCTGTTCCTATCTCTCTTTGCAGTCTCTCGCCAATTCTCGCAGCGACCTTCATGCCGCCTCGCGTTCTTGGTTCGTCCCACTCTCGTCGTTCTCTCTCCTGCGCTGTTTCATCCTCTGACTCGTCGCTCTCCGGTCTGCCTCGTTCTGCGACGACGCCGCCGCCTGCCGATGGCAGCCCATGTGGCGGAGGGCGTGCGCTGGGGTGTTCATGGGGTCCCGTACCATGCGGAATCGACCCTCAAGGAGCTTGTGATGAAAGCGAGCGGCGACTTGATCCTACCCACGGAACGTCGCCGCATAGCATTTTATCTCCTGCGTTCGCATTTGGGCGGGAGCGGCCGCACCACTGCTCGGTACCCCCCCTGCACAATTAAGCTCATCCCTGCTGCTAGGGGGGGGGGGGGGTCCCGAACCCCCTAGCAGCAGAGCGCACTGGACCCAGCTCTCCCGCCTCTTTGCCCCCCCCCCCCCCCCCCCGGGCTTGTTTTAAGGGGACCTTTCAAAAAGATTTGTTTCCCGGGCCTTTCAACCCAAAAAACCCTTCCCGTGTTCAGGGGTGGCGGTTTTCTTAAAAATTTTGG